TGCGAACAACATCGTGGGATGTCTGTGAGGCGGAGGGCGTCTTCCTCCGACACAATCCTATAATTACTTACAAACTGCATTCTGTAACACGCCAAGGTGGGTTGTGGTAGGGTCTACCCAGAACTCCGACAACTGGTGAGGGAACTTTCTGACTAAAACCGAAGTCAGCATATCACTGCCGTAATACGGGGGGCTTAAGCGAAAGTCAGGGCGGGAACTGACGATTTATATTTCGGCTTTTGCGGAAGCCGACTCAGTCGGTAATCGTAGTGCAGTTCGCTGTGCGCCATGGGTAGTCGACATTCCGATCGGATTTAGTGATAACGAACTGTCTGTTTTAACTTTAAATGCGTCCATGCCAACCCCCTGTAAACCGCTGATCTCATATTCATGTACTATCTCATTGTAGGGTTCGCCAGCAAGTTCCACCACGAACTGATATCCGAGTAGATAGAATATTCTGCGATTTTCGGAAATATCTACTCGGACGCGAGGATTCTGAGGTTTTCGAAATACTTCTGTACGATGAACTCCGTCAATCGACTGAAGACATCCGTACGACAAGTACAGACTTCATTGTTCATTCGCCTCCGAAATTCACGCGGACAGTTTGCCTCTTGAAGCTGCTTTTAAAAGTGGAAGGGAACGTTAAAACAAAGTCTGGGTCGTTAAATACATTACAAATCCACCAGTTCAATATTATTGCCGTTTTGCATGGGTTCAGTCGAAAGAAGAATACCGGTCGTGCCAGTAATGTCATTAAAGAAATAGTAATGCACACATGGCTCCCTTAAGCACAGTCAGCATTGAAATAAAAGACACCGCATTTGCAGGACTTAGCGTAACAACGGACCTTTTTTCGTTTGAAAGATAAATCCGAATATTTGATGCATGTTGCCATCGGCAATTAGTTCAGACAGCATTAGCAATGCCCTGGATGTGACCACATGTTGCATAGTTGTTGAGTGGACTACCATATGGCGACGTCGAAAATCTCATCGGATTTGAGGTTTAAGAAGACTAGCAAGAATGAGGTCCAACTGATAGGAAAGCTCCTCGAATGAGGCTGCAATGAAATCCGATACCGATACTAAAAGAGCCATTGAAAGACAAAATTAAAAACGGTTCGCCAGCAGAATTTAGAAAGTAGCGTTAATGCTAGCGTGAATGGCGTATTCGACACCTATATAGTAATTCTGGACATCGAAGTCTCAAATTTGAAGCTGAGTAAGCGACATTTAAAAAGGCAACTTTTAAAAGATCATGAAACTCCCGTATCTGCTTTGTCTCTGAAGGTGGGTTCGAGCAGGAATCCGAAACGGCAGGCTAATAAAGCTGTTGTCCCAGCGATCGTGTCTCCGTCTTCAGGATCCCACACAATTGTAGCGAACACTGAACAAGTTGTTATTGTCAAAAACCAACACCGACATATTCACGCCTATCGTCAGATTGAATAAGTCCTCTTCATCAAAATCTGCGGCCTCTGCACGTCACCGCATAGTCAATTCATTAGGAAACGCGACTACTCTTGATGCTGAGATCTTTAACCGTATAAACACGTCTTAAACAACCCCCAGCAACCCCAAGCAAGTCTAAGCATGTGCCTTATTCAAAGATGAATGCAAATGTCGTCTCAAGCATTCGGACACCTGGTAAATCCAGCTTCATTATGAAATCTGCTCCTCCACAATCGCCTTACACTGCCTAAAACACCACGGCCCAAAAGGTAGCGTCTTTCCAACTGCTCCCAGTACTCATATCGAGGCGGTTAGGAAGAATATGCCCACATTCTCGAATTCTAATAGAATTCTTGCTCCAATGGAAGCAGTGCTTCCCTCATCTCCCAAAATGTTTCGTTCACGGCCGTTTTACCAATGCATTCCTCATGATAATGTCCATACTGGGGTCAATTAACTCATTTGATCCTCAGGTTCCTTCCGATGGGAATACGTTACAATATCCGGCCCGTGGATTTCTAGATAAAAAAGAGCTAGTTTACAATGCTTACCAGATTCCCTGCCCATCATTTCCTCCCCTCAGTCCTTCTTCTCTTTATTAACGTCAGAATCTTTTCATGTCACAAAATCTTTTGTAGAAACTGACGGGTGCATCCGGACCGTGTGTTCTGTGGGCAGCCAAGCACGGCACGATGTATCCCACACCCCTCAGGATCAAACAGACTTTTCCTTCAAACCTTTTTCTAAATGCCAGATGCCTGCTAAATAAGATGTCTTTGCTTCAGACTTTGGTGTTTGTCTATTGTACAGATATTGTTTTAGTAACTGAGACATGGAGAACAATTTTCATTCGAAATGATCGTCTAGACAGACATTGTACAGGCAGTTACATCTACGTTACGCAAACACTTGCATTTCTGCCGCTGGACCTCCCACATTTTTCCGCGGTAGAAGGCATCTGCTGGCTCTAGGTCGCACTAAACTATGTTCTCCTTACTCGTTGACTGTGTCTATCCACCGCCCTAATGGTGACCTGATGGTGTCCCAGTAAGCATTTTAAAAGCGAATGCCAGTGTCATTTTCCCCTTCTTCTTATGCATGATATTTAATCACGCCCCTGAAAGTGAAACCTATCCTACTTTGTCAAAGGAATCACACATTTTGCCTATTCCTAATCATGGCCAATCCACGTGATTTGATGACTTTCGGCCAATAAACACCCTCCCCGCAGTTTCAAAGTTTTTAGAGACAGCGTTCAAAGATCAATTAAAGTGTCACTTAGCTGAGAATAACCTCCTGAGCTCCACACTGAATGGATTCCTCAAAAATCTGTCTTGTGACACCTGACAACTCTCTTGCTTTGACCATTTTCTCCAATCTAGGGACAATGGTTTTGCACATTACACAGTATACTTCGATTTCACTGAAGTTTTTGATCTTGCTGACAATGCTCTTTTTTTTCTTGAAACTGTCCTATTACGGAATAGATGGCCAATTCTGGATTTAATATACTATTACCTGGGTGCTCGTATACAGCGACTTAAGATTTCCGATGCCAACTCCAACCCCACATGTGTGAGGAGTATAGTCATTCGGGGTAGTGTACTTGGCCCGCTTTTATTTCGCCTTTCTGTTAACGATGTGCACGATTTATTTCAGAATGGTAAGTCCTTCATGTATGCCGATGGTGTGAAAGTCCCATATCGATATAAGCCGGCAGATCGTGACATGGCGCTTGATCTCCTCAAGAGCGACCTAAATACCTTTGTCCAGTGCTGTCGTATATGGCGCCTTTCTCTTTCTTGTCATAAAGTCTTAGTCATGGTGGTTGGCGACGACCGCCAACCTCAACTAAACATTAACGGTCGCGCCATAAATGTGCCTGGGGTTATTAAGGATATGGGTGTATCATACTCCAAGAGCCTCAATCTTTCGTAGCACTGCACCCTGATAGTCTTCAAAGCTTGTAGAGCGACCGGGTTTATTTTCCGGAACTTTAAAACCAGCGACCTTAGAATGCGCCTTTATAATATGTACGTTCGACCTGGCCTGGAATACTGTTTGTTCTTCTTTAGCCTCATTCGTCCAGCACTTTTTTACCAATAGAGTTTTAGTCTCGAAAAACCGACATTTGTATTATAAAGAACGTTTCAAGCTAACAGGCCTTGTGGCTTCGTAGACTACGAAAGGGTGGTTTTTATAATTTAAGCTTTAATACAATCGTACCTTTAACCCACTCACTACCTTAAAACACTTTGTCCCCCGACGACACAACCACCGTGATATCTTTTTATTTCTTCCTCTGGCATCACCGTTTAATATCGTCGGTTCTACTCCGTGAATACCATTGCTATTTGGAATAAATTACCTAAGAATGTGAAAATTCAGCAAAATTATCTGTTATTTTAGTGAACTATTACTCGTTTTTTGCATTTGGAAAAACCCACAAATTTTGGATGCTGAATTCACCATCGCCAGGGACATTGATTTCTACACCATAACCATCCTTTCGTACTCCGACCGGGTTCCTGTTGTCAGTCTAGTTTTAATATAGTGAAATTAAATCATAGGCAAAAGTTCAGGCTGTCGGATAATATTGAATTCATACTCCTTCCGTGTCTGATGGATGTATTTTTCGACTTCATTTCATTGACGACGATAATCTTTAATGTGTGCTGGTAACCCAGTCAACCTGAATATCTTCCATCTTTTACTTCCCTTTCGTAACTATCTATAAAAGTCCCTGGTTAACCAGGTAGGTCTACTGGTCGCTTTTTTGTGACCCCAGTGGACAATGGCATCGAATTAGACCAAGTGAAGCCGTCTTAAAAGATCAAAATTGTCCTCCAGATCTCGCTTGAGGGAACGGTCCCAATTCACGGGCATCAGCCATTTCTTCATCATGTTAAAATCTGCCTTCCATATATTAGGCTGCCCTTCAGATCACTTGTGGAGTTGAGAGGTGAACGAGTAATCCAACGGTAGCGCAGTATGGTCGCTATTTCAGAGAGGTGCACTGGAATACACTACGTCAATATAAAAGAATTCTTCCGTAAGGAATAGACCCAGGCACTTTGCTCTTGTTCTTCCTAAATCTTGTTGGTGACGTTACAAGTTGTTGCAGATGGAGGTCGAGTGCGAGGTCCATTAGCTTATTGCTAAGGAAAGTTGACGTACTATTAATTATCACGGTTTTTCACTCTTTTGCAGGTGTGATGAAATTCAAACTAATAAGAACCTATTGGTTGCTAACTGCCTCCTTAACTCAATGAAGAAGCGGTTCATTTCGCATACTTGACGCACTTTCTTCTCCTGCGTGTAAATGAGTTTCGAGAGATGCTTACCGTTCTGTTCAGGACTACCTTCGCCGGGATCTTTTCTCAGTGTTTCCTTACTTTGGTATGGGTTACCCCTGACGTCCACTTACCTCTCTCAGCTAGAGACAGCGGTTATGGCAACCAATGGGAGTTGCCAATTTTAGCCCGCCCGGTCAACTCATGTAGTAACGCTTTCTTAGTGCTACAGAACGCGAGTAAAATTAAGATGCATTTACTGGGGAAAACGAAATGCAAAGTAATTTCCTCAGATTCTGAAGTTTCCCTATCATCATCTGTTTCACAACTGTTGGCTCTTCGGCCGTGCAGTATTACTTCCTCAAAGTTTAGTAATAAAGAAACCAGGCAAGTACTTGCAAATTGTTGATTTATATTTTTCACACAGCGTCACCCTCAATGAATCAGTTCGTGGTGCTAATGTATTCGTTTTCCAAAGCCAACGTAAGCCAGTGAATGATGGGTTGGTGGAAACGTTGGCAGTGATTCAAACTTGCATGTTGTGCTCAGCAGAACGGATAACCGCCATTTTGCCATGCATGCCTTACACATCGTCGCATCATGTTTGTAAAAGTTAGCATGTTACCACTTGCGTTTTCAGGCACAAAAAAGATCGGTTAATCTGCGACTAATTGTTAACCTTTTACGAAAAGCGGGCGCGAATCAAATAATTACGTTGGAAATGGATTTCTTCGATGGTCAACGCCAGCTAAATTCGCCTGTGGAAAATTTGAGGATAGATGCCGAACTGTGTTCGTGGTTTCGGAATAACTTTTCCGACCTGACTGATCACTGTTTTGTCAGCCTCCGCGAGACTACTTCTGACAGGTACGACTGCAACTGTTCCCTAGCGAAAAGATACACGTATTCCTCTATTCTCAGCTGTTTTCTTTTAGTTCTGAGCTCACCACTGGAAGATTTTATTTTCCACCATTAATTACGACAGTCATACACATCAACAAAAATATAGTCGTATGATAATCTTGATTCCATTAATATTCCTTGAGATTTATTTTAGACATGTGTTCGGATCAACCACAGCTTTTGGTGGAATAAACTCCGAAACAAAAGAAGTAGCCTTAATAAAGTTTATTTCACTTTTATCTTCGACCATGCGTTACACTCATACAGGTGCCTTAATTTAATCTGCCTATCATCCTTATTTTAGAGCACGAAATCTGTCGAATTCCCTTGATTGTGGTTTTGGGGTTTTTCGAACGACATTTTTGGACAGTGAGTCCGGCCCGGGTGGTAATTCAGCTGGCGGGGCGCAGTTCGATGGGTGCATTGAAGGCAAAACTGCTGTTTTAATTGAAGGATTTTCGGATGATTGTTACTGCCTTTGCGAAGCTGCTAAAAGGCAAGTTACCGCTATATTCCTAGGCACTTACCTAAAATTAATCTAGCGTTTTATAATTTATCAACTGCCTAACTTCTTACGAGACAGTTATTTATCTGTGTCTCTGTCGATGCGTGTTTGCAGGACTTACACAAAAAGTGTGCCTTATTTACGCCTGACCGTATTTTAGGATTAAAGTTAATTATCGGACAGGTCAGCATTTGTAGTTTATTTCTGCCAATATTCCCATCAATATATACATATTTTGAAATTTACGGCCGGTTTTATATCGTCGTATAATATTTACGTTTGCCATAAACGTTAAACTGGTTGCGTAAATGCGTATTCACGTTGGAATTTTCAATAAAGCCAAGTGTGGAATCTGGTTTTGTCCTGTGATGATGGTCCGTCAAGAACAGCCATTGATTTATGGAAGATTCACGTTTGACAGTTTTTAATTCGCAAACGTTGCCAAACTTCACGACGCTGCGGTAACCGTGGATGCAATTCCTTTTGGCTGTGCAGGAATACTGTACAGTGATTTCTTTGACAGATATTTTTGCCCTCAAACCATCCACTTATTAACTTTCGCTCTTTAGATATGGCGGTTGTGCCAAAATATCTCAATTAAAAATCAACGACTTTTGTAACCAAAAGACATCTCCCTTTCCACTTTGGCAAGGCGTGACTACATGTGACTCTTATTGGCAGGGTAGAATTACATTTCAAGTATCAATAAGTTGCTTTTTAATAGTATTTAATGCGGCGAACTGAGAATTCGAGAAGTATGTGTGTTTGAATAAATTATTAATATGGGAATGAACTATCCCAAAATGTACCAATATCTGCGAGATAAGGAAGAATAAAAACACAAATTATTTGTTACCGTTTTTCAATATGTCTGCATTATATTTATGAGATTGCTTGGACTTCGAATAGGTCACTTTGGCAAACGTTTTAAGGTCCCATTTGACTGACAAATTTCCTTTCGAATCCATGTCCTTTCTGGCATTTCCAAGGTTCCATTCTGTGTGGTCAAGGACTTTTGCGGAATGCATGGATATTAGGAGGAATAGGATTGTTTGTGAACAAAGTAAAAGTTTTCTTGTAATTTTTTGAGACTGGTTCCCGAATTTGTCGTCAGACATCTCACGCGTTGACGATACAGCGCTGAGGTCAAAGGTGCACACATACCCACACGAAGCTCAAGTACTCCGCAGACGGATCCATCAGATAAAACCTAATAATTCCTTCGAGCAGAACTTCGTTAGTGCTTTCCTATCTGGGATTCTTTACTTGCTCGCCCCGTTTTGCCTTAACGTCAAATGTAGGGCTCACGGTAGCGGTCGTTTTGTGACCAGGAATATATTTTGAAGGGTGTATTGACAAAGAGAATGGAGACTAGGATGTCCTTTTCTACCTTATTCGCTGTCGTCAGCCAGATTTACCAAACCTCTGGTTTGCGGCACCTAAGTTATGAACCCTAGTCCCTGCGATTATAAGGCTTCAGTAATTCAAACGCCCTAATTATTGAAACATGGGCTTGTTGTTCTGTCGGTTTCCACCAAACATGTTATCCGTGATAGAAGGATGTTCATGGACCGAGTTTCGGAGTCTGTTCTTCCCTCTGAGTCGTGGAGCTCATTGTAAGCACTCATACACAGTCGCAGTGACTAATAATATATGTAGGTGAAACTACCAAAAGACTAGTGAAAATGGAAGGGCTATTTTTGAACTGTTAGCCCTGGTCGATCAGCCTTACATAAACCAAGATTTGAGCGCACCTGAGCTAATAACCTGAACAATAGTGAATTTGCCGGATCGCATCCGACAGGAATACGATTCCGCAACTCACTGGCTGGAACGTTTGACTTACTCACCCTTAGTAGGTAAGGGAACTGGGGTTCGAACCTCGGGCGTCGCCAAACCCGAGGTTGGACATGGCGAGCAGACGAGGGGTAATAAGTCGGAACTGGTCATTCTCTTCTCTTTTGTCTTTTCAATACTTGTTTCATTATAAATCGATACGCGTGTTCATGAAGTGATAAGGCCACTCAGAAAATCGTATTGTACTTGTGAATTTTCAGGTTGATGATACCGACCTGGCTTCAGGCGAAATGGCAAAAGCCAAGTTGTCAGACTAGGCCGGTTGGCGCGACAGAACAGACAGCGATAGACAGATAATTGGTGTATGAGAGTTGCAGGCACCTAACCACGGTGGGTTTTGGAGTGAAGAGAGAGAAAATTGTTACGACTCCCTGTGCTGGAGGACATGGCGAATAGGTGGGACTGCAGGCGGTTGGATTAGCGATTTGAGATGAAGGCACGGATCAGTGAGCCGGTGTTGGGAGTTTCAGCTGTGGTTGCTCGTGTCGGGGGAGGGAGTGGCGAGCTAGTGAGATTGCGCATGGTCGACCATGGATTACCAGCTGTTAGTAGAGGGTGTGTGAAAGTCAATGAACCGTGCCGCAGACCTTCGTAGTGGGCGTTCAGATAGACATGGCGGTTGATGCTGGTCATGTTAGAGCGCCACGTTTTGATGAATTCTCGCATCTGCCCGGTGTTAGTCATCCCAATTAAATCAGCGATCACAATCAGTTGCACGCGGTTTAATTGTCGGAAGATTTTACAGGAGCCCCCACATACACGGCTCACTGACTTTCCCTCACCCTCTAATGGCAGCTGATAATCCATGGTCGGCCATGCGAAATTTCACTGACCCGCCACTCCCCTCACCTCGACACGATCAACCACAACTGAAACTCCCAATACCGGCCCACTAACCCGTGCCTTCATCTCAAATCAATAATCGCTAATCCAGCAGCCTGCAGTCCCACTGATCCGCCATGCCCTCCAGCAGAGGGGGTCGTAACAGTTCTCCCTTCCTTTACTCCAAACTCACCGCAACTTAGTGCCTGCCCCTCTCATACACCAGTTTTCTGTCTACTGCTGTCTACCGCCGACCGGTCCAGTCTGACATTTTGGCTTTTTCTCATTTCGTATGAGGCCAGGTTGGTCTCATCAACCTGAAACTTCACAAGTGCAATTCAATTTTCGGAATGGCCTTTTATTTTTATTAAATAATTTCGGAATACGTACTACCGCAGTTATTTATTTATTCATATATTTAGTGTATTCATATATATGTACTGCGGCTAATTTTTAGGAGGACGAATTGCCGTAAGGTATATGGAAAAGGTGACCACTTTTTAAAAATCAGGACATAATAAGTAACTTTAAAAGAAACATAGTCTCAAGTCTTGTTGTTTTTATTTTTGGCGATGGTGAGAATACGGAGCCTTCGGGCCGCCGTTGCATGTCAGTAGAGACTTTCGGCTTTTTGTTTTCTCGAATAATCCCAAAAAAATGTGCTAGGTATTTTAAGGTGTGAAACATTATCAAATTGAGACTGTATTTTAAATATTTTGCCCACCAAATGTGCATTGACAATGGTTGTGTTTCGGAGTTTTAAAGCAAATAAATGGCTTAAGCATGTTGCGTATAAAACTGTGTCCAAGAATTATGTTTTAAAACCGGGTTTGCCTTTATCTTTTCAGTCTCTCAGAAATGGGCGCTAGGGCAGTCTATGCGGTTTGCATCCACGGCGCATTTACAGAAGATGGATTACGTCGGATTTCAGATTCACCAATAATTACAACTGTTACAACCAATTCGATCGACCAATCAGAAAACCTTAAAAAATGTCCGAAACTTTGGGTAAGTATGTTGTCATATGGCAACTCTTACCTGATAAATCAAATTCTTCTCCATCTCTGTCTGAAAATTAATTAAATTCCGCTTCCCATTTTGTTCAACCCAACTTAAAAATCAGCTTTCAGTACTTAACCGGTTGGTTCCCTGCTCATGGAGCTATACAGACAACTGTAAGTCGTACTGCGGCAACTAGACCACGGTCATCAAAGTGATTTTTATTTTAACTTATCAATCCGTAAGAAAAAGCTCAGGAATCTGGTGACCCCACGTCTGATGGAAAACGCGGAACCCATAGACTGTGGAGTGGCTTCCAGTCAAGAAGTCCATCTCCTCGGAGGTTTCAGTGTGCCAGTTCAGTTAGAGACAGTGCGGAGTCTTTCGACTCTGAGCTGATTGCTTTCGCTGTAGATAACTGGCCACACAGGGCTCCACAAACCTCATGCAGCACAGAGTTTGGGTATGGTCTTCAAATTGATGAGTGGATTTATGCACGGAAACTCCGTGGACAAAAACAACTTTTTGGCCATTGGCTTTGTCTTGAATGCTGACTTAAGTGAACATTGCCCATCACCAACGATTGAAGTGTCTGCCTCGAACGCATTCAAACGCTACTCTTCGGGTTTCTGGCCTGCGACGGTGCACCCATGCCATAGAAGCAAACTGGGGCATTGAAGCTACATGGATACCCTTCAGAAGTCAGCTGTCTGGCGCCGACGCTTTTTTCGCGTCAAAAGAGACAGGGTTATAAGGTTAGACCGAAACGGTTACATGGGCGTACGTGGTATATGTTAGACTAAGGATTAATTCCTAGTACGCTACTACGTGAAGTTTCACTTTAGAACGGCTTAATTCGGCCATGTCAATAGTATGAGCGGAAAGGGGAGGGAGAATGGAGTTCATCCATCGGGGTGCAGTCTCCCCTTTTCACTCGGTAATCGAGCAGCCGCGTTTTCAACTTTTACGACGTCTGAAAGTTACGACTTTGGCGACTGCCAACTGATGAAAGAATTCGACCCCATCCCCTCCACCCCGGAAAGTAGGGTAAGCTTTAATGGCTCCTGAATGTGACCTTTATGGCAAATCTCTACGAGTGAAATGTTCAAACTCTTGCCTACTGTCCAGTTCGTATGCGTGCATTTCAAAAAGGCGTGCGTCCAGCCCCGCCGTCTCTGCCCAACTTCGGTCGCATTTAATCTGTCTTGACCTCGGTACTCGATGGGCGTCGCGAGCGATGATGAAATAAATGCTATGCAAGTCTTCACCAGTATAAACCGATTCGTATGTAATTCACTACAACGTCTACGCAACAAAAATTATGCTCTTCGATCATGACAGATACATTATCTGGCACATTTGTTCATAACTTTCAGTTCCTTCCGGAACTAGCAGACGAAAATGAATGTTTTCCGGGCGCTTTATAGTATGACCATGCACATTGGGGACCAATGTTTCTATTTTCGTAATTCAAACATCCTCATGTTCGGTAAGACGGAGGACCAAGTTAATTCCTACACATCTGGATTGTCATCAGATTCACATTTAAGAAGATTTTAGTATACCTGTTGATTGGAGGCCTTTGGATACTAACGCGCAGCAGAAATCACGCTCAGAGTCAAGTATTTTTCCCGAGTCAGTTCTTAAGAGACGCCACATGGGTGGACGGTAAGCCCAAATTCCATCGTATGAGACCTTAAATTTCTGAACGCTTCTGCTATGCCAGGATCAGCAAACCAGGGCACTCGCAGCCTGGTTTGCGCTGGTAGCTCTCTAGTGCTTAGTTCCTTGCCGGTGAATGAGAATGGCTGCCCAATTATCTTCGTCCCTCTGCTACTGTCGTTCTTTTTATTGTTGTTAAAATCCTGATACTTTGCTGTGTGGTCCAGGGATGAGACAGCACGCCTAGGCGCGGCTCTGGTCGCGCCATCCGCCTGCGCCCTCCCCCACCGTCGGTCTTCTTTACCATTTCTTGACACCGAGTCCAGGTGGGGGGGGGCGTGTGAGATGCTGTGCACATACACCACCACTATAAATTAATTCGCGTACAAGTCATCGTGCCTGCTTTATCCCTGCCGTGAAGCACACGGTGAACATCTTCGGGCACGACGGTCGAACTGTCATATGACGCCTAAACGGCAAGCCTCTCTTTTTAGACGCTCTCAGGTGTTCATGGCGCCAAAACACCAGCCATTTGAGGGGTTGCACTTGCTGTTAACTGTTTCAAACGCTTTTCATTGCCATATGAAGCATAATTAAATAAAGTTTTAAGCATCCGCGAAATCGTTTTCAAGAGAAAGTTGCAAACGGACAACAATAATGCATTTACTTACTGAGCACGTTGTCATGGCTCTTCATTGTGTTTTTCACGTATCACTCAGATTAAGCTTCCTGCCCAACTTTACATCAATTCGCCGTAGTGTAAGTACACCGCATTTGACCGGGAAACAGACTTTACCGAAGTATACTATCTTTGACAAGCATTTAGGCCCAACGAATACCCGCGTAAATAGAGGGCAAGTGAAGCCCGCGGAGCTCTGGTTTTCTCAAGCCATCCTGTACTCCAGAAAGACCTTGTAAGTCGTCACTTGCTCCCGATACCCGAACGTCTCGAGGAAACAATCGAACACCTGCTTCACTTACGACGAAGCGTCTTGCGAGTCATGTAGCTGACCCGGAGAAAAAAGTAAGAACCAAATACGGCTATTTTCGCATTTCCAGTGATGAAAAGGAACCTGTCCCACCGAAATCATGCAGCATCTGAAGTTCGAACTATATGCAATCGTCCATATTCCGTTTGAAATGGCGTTTGAAACGACGTTGAGAAGGCACAAAACAGTGTGTGGGGCAGCTTTTAGTGCGAAGCAGGGTTTTGACTGCATTTGCTGAAATTACGAACAACGTGCATTAAAACTGTCTTAAAAGTACATGACTGACTACCACTCCACCCTTCCAGCAACATCGCACGACGACTAGTCGAGTGGCATCTACATCCATTGAGAGGGTTTATGCCTACTTTCCCAGTTGCTTTGCCTTACCTTAACCTTCATTCTGCTCAGGTATTTCACGTTCGAATACCCACACGATATTGAGTCGCTTCTTTGGAACTGCCCTATTGCATCTTTTTGATTTACCTTCTGATGACACTGTCTACTCCATCAGTCTGAAAGAATGTAGTTTTTCTCAGAGTATTCCTGTTGCTCAGAATCACGCGTGTTTAGTTCTGCGCCAACTGACATCTCCTGTAAAAGAAAACTTTGGAAATTTTCAGGCGCTCGTCGGTATAGCCAAACCTCATCAGTCACTGGCTGAGTCAAGCTTGAGAAATTGCGTCAGTGAGGTTGCAGCATGTAATTCGTGCATTCGTATAATTATTTAAACGAATGCTTAGTTCAGTGACGGAGCGCTGAACTCATCACCTAAGGGCTCCGAGTTACCCGAACGTGGGACTCTGGTGCGGATGGCTGATGGCTAATAATAGAAGCGAAGAGGCAAGTTCCAAGAAGTAATCGCGAAGAAGGAAACGCGATCGCTGGAACAAGAGCTTTATTAGCCTGACTCTCACTCGAATCCATCCTCAGAGACAGAGTCAGATAAGGCTGGTAAATTGCTCAGGTGTTGCAGTATTTATAGGATGTAGTTGCTGGGCCGCTGTATACCTATCGCAGTTGACAGCTCCCGAGTGCATCACGACTCGACTGCTAGAGGTGACAACCGCGTGAGCCGCGATCTGCTGGAGTCATGGTTTTCCAGTCCTCAGTCAATCAACAAACGCAATGACCTCCCCTCACCATATTCGGCACTGGGACCTTGTCTAGGCAAAGTAATTAGCTGCGAGGACAGCGCGCGGATGACCACTTTTCCTGTGTCAACGTCGGCGAGCATGCTTTATCACCTGTCCAGGTGAGCCCTAATGCACTTGGGAGTTGCCAACTCCAACTACATCCTATAAATACTGCAACACGTGGGCACTTTACCACCCCTATCTGAATCTGTCTCCGATGATGAATTCCACTGAGAAGCCGAAACGTCAAGCTAATAAACCTCCTGTTCCAGCAATTGTGTCTCCTCTTTCTCGACGGCTAATAAGCCATACCTAACCATCACAGTCTCAATCCTCCCCATGGCGTTTATTACGAGTTACTTTGGGGCCAAAGCCATTAGTGAAGCAGCATGCATGTCCGGATTCAGGCATTATTTCTAAGAACGTAAAATTCCATAGTAAAACTGGACAGCAAATCGCAATTTCAGACATTCATCTCGGGAGAACTACTTAAATTTATAACAGCATCAAACTATACGGAAAGGTGTGCTACATATTTTACTATTTATTCCCCAAATTTGAATAACACCCCGTAGGGTAGGATTGTCGGCTGCAAATCAGCATGCTGGTGTGCACGAGGAGCTTGAACGTCATTTTCTTAGTAATTCGTTTTTCAAGCCCCCGTTAAATGATTTCAACCGATGTTTTAATGGGTTGCGGTTCACACAGGGCTGTCCCGAGATGCACAGTGAATTTAAATGCTGATAAAGCCGGGGTGGCTAGATCGCAGTTGGTTGCCAGGCCCTGTATTACAGTTGGCTAGGGGTTTTTTACTGGGGTTATTGTGTGGTGTTCCATAATCACATCTGACCCATTTGGCTTCTTGAAGAAGGAGACACGATCGCCGGGACAAGAGCTTTATTAGCCTGACGTTTCGGATTCCTACTCGAATCCATCATCAGAGACAAAAGAGCAGAAACGGGTGGTTGTTGCACAAGGGGCTGCGGTATTTATAGGATGCAGTAGCCATGCTACCGCATACCTATGAACGTTCACGGCTCTCCCCTTCATCCGGGATTGTCGCACTTGGTGTGATCATTGCTTGATGGCCGACATTCGAGTCGATAATTGCTGCAATTTCATCACGTGCGTTGGATGTTGGCGTGATGATTGCTCGACCATCTGACGCATCGACCCCGGTGTTGGGAAAAGTGTTTACCTCTGCGCTCCCCCATTTGGCTTCCATTTTACGTTTGAGGTTAGAACTAGGGAACCGGTTAATGGTTTCCGATTTTCGGGTTAGGGTTATGCCTTTAGGCTTAGGTTTTCGGGTTATAGTTGGGGTTTGAGCGTACGATTGGGTTTCAATATTACGGTTAGGTTTTTTTCAGTTACGGCTATGTCTAAGGGCTACGGTTACGTTTACGATTTTGTTTAGGGTTAGGGCAAGGGTTGCCGTTAAGGCTAACGTTTAAGGTTGGGGTTGGGATTAGAGTTAATGTCGCTGTCCGTTTCCCCATTCCTGGCTACAAACTGCGATCTAGCCGCCAGGGTTAATTATAAACCACTTTGTTTTCATAATGAACTGCAATGTACACACACTGGTTAGTTGTTTTGTCAACGTCTGTTTCCAATCTGTTGTCCGCTTTGGTTTGGGCAGTCGCAAACGTCAGGATGGATCTAATTTGACATTTGAGCACTCTCTTGTTTAATAGTGTTTTTAGGTTCGGTGATTATTGCCGGTTGTGTATCGTAGACTGTATCTTTTGAATATCTCCATAAGAAGTCTACATCTGCGAGGTAGGAGAGTACTCTATGAAACTCTGTCATCCTGTCCACCCGTTTTGCGAGCTATCGAAGAATTAGAATCATACATAGAAATAATAGTGTACGGGTACCCAAGCTTAATTAAAATAATGTCGTCTGACTGTCATTAATAATCCCCGCTAGTCATATCTAAGAAGAAAAACACCAAGTGAATCACCAGTTGTTAAGGCGTGGAGACATTATTTTGGAATATTCTTTGCTTGTGGGATATCGATAACGCTAAGTAGAACTTGGTGAACATAGGATAAAAAGGAAAAGAAAAGCAAACACTACGCGTTATCACGTGATCTGCAGTCTGCCTGCTACGTTACGCGCAAGAGGACGATAAAGATGTACCTTCAAAAAAAATACTGAAGCACACGCGGGAAAAAATTCGATCAGTTAATTCCCCTGACTCCAAGACTACCATTACTCTCTCCAGTTTGCTCCTAGTTTTGGCAAATTTTATAATAGTCGTGGAAAAGCGATGGAAAAGCAATTGGTAGGGGTTTACTTGCTAAACGGATTCCGGATTGCGGTGGTGAAACGAAACTGAAACAATAGTGCGTGACCAATCTCATGAAATGTTGGCCAAAATTCTGAAATGCGTTTCAGATTAGGAAAGATTACTTAAGTGGGGTTGTAGTACTGATTATCTTACGGCATAGCCCTATAACATTTGGGACTTGAAAGGATGTCGGCTTTTGAATGCGCTACTTTGTGACATCCTGCAGGAACTACACTCGGTAAAAAACGACTATTTAAGTAGCAGGCATTTTTTCAGATTGATTTCCAATGGTCTTATAAATTCAAATATATTTAACAGAAACCATGCATAAAAATATGCTTTCTTTTGCTCATTTGGTAGCAAATCACATTGTCTTCGCATTTTATGCCCGAAGAAAGTGTACATTTAGGTTTTAAAAAAGCTTATAATTATGAGATTTTTAAGACTCTGCGATGTCCATGCATTCATGACCGCACATTTGCGTGTACTACTGCTTCTCGTAAAATGTACAACACAATCCGGATCCATCGCAAAATTTCATGAACTCTGTGTGGTATCTTCTTAAAGGCATAGAGGAATATATGATTTTCCTTACGCGGAAGGCATGCAATTTGTAGACTTAAATTGCTAAACGTTGGTGCAATGGCAGATCAGGCTGGAAATTTTTCGGGAATTGGGAAACTTTCTAAAGCCTAAATACGCACTTTCTTCCGGCATAAAATATAAAGCCAACGGGATTTTCTATCAAATTGGCAAAAGAAAGCGTATTTTATGCATAGTTTCTGTTAAATATATTTGAATTTTTAAGGCTATCGAAAATAAATAGGAAAAATGCATGCTACCTAATTAGTAATTTTTTTACCGAGCGTGGTTCCGTCAGGAGGTCACAAAGAAGTGCATTCAAAAGCCGACATCCTTTCAAGTCCCAAGTGTTATAGTGCTATGCTGTATGATAATCAGTATAACAACCCCACTTAAGTAATCCATCCTAATCCGAGAGCCTGGTAGACTTTCTCAAATTGTTTCGGAAAAGGTTGAGCAGGTCCACCAGCTGCCCTCTGTCACGATCATTTCCCATCGATTTGTTTCATCTCTGCAGACTTTTAATCTGTTAGACTCCGTGTTTTCGGACAGCAATGGGGCCCCGAGTGGGACAAACAAGTGGTTGACACGGGGGATGCGTTCAGGTCGGAGGTATCGCTTCACGTCAAATTGTGTTTACGAATTCACATGCACTTGTGGATGCACGTACATTGAGCGAACGCAAAGGCAACTGGCAGCCAGGTCATTTGAGCACCTGCCTATATGGCTTCCAAAACAGGAGAATAAGATTCCACGGTCTTCTATCACAAAGCACCTCCTAGATAGTGGTCATTCCGTTGACCCCAAAACATCTTTTCGAGTCTTACTTCGAGCACGAACAACTCGGTTACTGCGCTACCTGGAGGCAGCCTGCATACGGCAGGAGAAACCCGACCTATGTAAACAGGTAGATCACGTGGTCAACCTCAGCTTGCCCTGGTAGATCTGAGCCCCTTTGATTTACGAAATCCCTCGGTGTGTTACCTTCCCCGAGTTTCTCTCCTATGTTGCGTTTTCAAGTTACCGTCTACGTGCAGTGTACGATGATCTTGCTCATTTACAGTGATTTTCCCTGTGGAAGTTAAAACCTCTGTATCCTTCTCATTTGTTATCTGCATTATGCAACGACAGGCTGTAGTTGATAATCCGTCGCGAAATTTACTAGTTCAATTAACTTCTGCTGTCTATGCCTGCTTTAAAAATCTATGGTTGGCAGGGGGGTGCGTTCAGGTCGGAGGCATCGTTTCATCTATCTGATTGTCTTGGAGCGGGGAGGAGGGGGTTTGCCCAAGCATGCGTTGGCACATGGTCGGCCGGTAACTCCACATAAGCGAGACACTTCTTGTCCAGGACAGATGGACCATTAATTGACCACGTTTCCAACGTCCTGAAACTTGTGCTGATCTTTCTCACAAATGCCATGTTACCTTGCGGTGTTGCGTGGTGATCGACTGTGCACTGTGTATCAGTCCAAATGCGTGACCTTCTGACATGAGTTTGAATAAAATGACTCTGCAATGCGCCCTTGTTGCGGCTGGTATTCCTTCTCTTTTTTCTGGAAAGCCCCGCCTCATCAACATATTAGGACTATGTTGAACAGAGGGCTCTCCAAGCACGACAACAAACGCTATTGCGAATTTTTTACATCTATCTGAGCCGACTATGTGAACGTTTACTTAGGGCAGATTTTGAGGGTGCGGAAGGTCATCTTTTGTCGTTTATTCACTGTCGATTTTCCGAACAGAGTCCAAATTTTGGTCCTGGAACTTCCCATCCTAAACTGGACTATCCAGAGTTGAATTTGCGCTCTTGTTAAATCGGCCTTTTTGCCGGATTGCCTGTCAAGTGCACTATGTCTTTATGCCAGTTTACGTCTTGCCGCGATGCTACCAACAGAGTCTTCAATTTGATCCTAAATGTTAGGTCTTCAGCTAACAGGAAAAACTTTTACACCTCCATCCCCACTTTATTTCCCTCAAGTGCTTGGATGTGTCGAATCGCTTTGCATCGGCAATTGCTCGCATTCACAACAGCACTTCCGAGAACCACGTCACAGGCTCTGATGACACTACTCCCCTGAATGGTGACAACGGGACTTAATTCTGCAGCTAATCCCTTAACGTGCCATCCGTCCAGACTACCTACGACCGTCAGCCACCTGTTATGCCCAATTCTGCGCCATTTAGGATAGGCCTACCAACACGCTTCTACCTCATATCCCCCTCCCGTCCCATCTCCCTCTGCACACAGTCGTATGATAGCGGCAGCAGTATTTTCATTTATCTATTGTTTGCTATGATTATTATTTTACGTCTTTCCCGTTATGTGCTCTTTTCACTGTTGGCAACATTAGACGCGAATGTCATTTCAGTAATCATATATATGGAATACTCGGGAAGTTAGTCATGTCGGCTGCGAGGTTTGTACCCTGGCTGTGGACACTAGGAACTCGACACTTCGTGAGAGGCCGGGGCCAGGGGGGTCAGGTGAATTCTGGGCACTCACGACTTTGTTTATATTTGATCTTTTCTGAAGGACTGGGCTCCTGTACGCACTGGCATGGGTTCACTTACCCGGACCGCTTACAGGACACTGATGATGTACACGGGGGGAGGCTGGTTTTCAAACCAACCACCTCAACTTCGTATTCTATTTCCAATTTTGCAATTCTGCCAGCGGCGTCAGTAGTTGCTTAGGTCACTGATGTTTCGTCTCGAAAGTGACCCCTGTGGGAGGTTTTCTGCCCTTCTCGGGTAGCTGTCGAGTGCGTTTATCGCATCCGGTGGGCTGAGATGTCGAGAGGCAACTTGTAGAAACTCCAACCTAAGACCAGACCGCATAAGATTCAAGGTCCGGCAGGGTTTCGTCAAGTCCCGATCAGTCATCTCGCAGTAAAAAGGAACATCTCTTGTGTACAGGAATTACAGATCGGGTATTGTCCGCCTTCAGCTACAGAATGAAGTTCCGCGAGTATGCAGGAAAAAATTGGTGGATTCCTGGAATGCCTGGAGATGTATTCAAGTTCCAATGGTCGAAAAAAGAAGAGTTGGAAATCCTGGGTACGCACTGACCAGATTCAGATATCACTGAGGAAGTTTGGATGGTTACGAGGGCGTCGTCCTATCTAACATCTCGAATTCGTACTCACATCCATGCTCTGAGAACACGGAGTAAAACCTTGAAGTTTATGGAATAGAATGGCTGCGTACACAATCACCTCATGGAAACCATTGTCCCGGCTGCTGACAGACTACAGGGGCTACGCGGCAAATGCACTGTACCAACAGAGGGAGTTGATCAGAGTCTGGCAGACGTTATTGCGAATACGCGCCCAAAACAAATTTCAAAATTGGGGCGTGACAGCTTGTCAGAGTGCAGGCCCATGCCGCCCCAATTGGGATCTAAGCCTTTCCCTCTCCCTTCTTGGTGAAATACTGACCAGGGTATGCTGTGGACCAGAGGGCGTGTAGGCGCGCCTAACTGCGGGTCTTCGCCGTACCAGCCACCAGCACCCTCTCCCACCTCTGGTATTCCTGACTCTGTCTTGAGATGGTACCCAGGTGGGGGAGTAGCAGAGACTGCGGTACATTCATCATGAGCCCACTGTCACATAAAAGAAATCACGCACAAGTCACCCCCCCCCGCCTCCCTGTTGCGGAGCGCACGGCGGACATCATCGGTCCCGACGGCATGGCACCGGCCTGATAATCATGTAAGCCGGTAAGGTTTCCTTCTTTTCTCCTCATCAGCAGCGTCCAGTCCCTGGTGGATGGCGGTACTGCGCAGTCAGCAAGCAGTTGTTGAGTCTGACAGCCAACTTGAAGACGAGTAGTGGTGCACGATAGGCGTTATTCGCAGCAGTCCTCTCCTTCCCGAACGCAAGTCGGGGTGAAAACCTTGGCTGTTTAGCAGGTGTGCAGACCGTCAATAGCGAGTGCTGGCGCGAGGGTCTGATTGGCCCGGGGGCAGATGCGCTTACGGCCATGCTATTGGACGACCACGCAGCCAGCGGGGACAGCATGGCGACGCGTGTGGAAGGGAAAACTGGTGCGGTTTTCCTACAGCGCACGCAGGAAAGGAACCTCACAGCTCCACGAGGTAAGCGTAGTTTGATAGTTAAGCAGCATCACCAGCAGACGTACGCAAAAGCCAGATGGAGAGCTCCAATACGAAAACCCTGCCTTTGATATATGTACAGCTCATAGGCCACCAGCTGCCTTCGAATGGCTCTCGAGGGGGGAATTGTGCGTAAACTCGAACAAATCAAGACGAAAGACGCACTTGCAGGCCATGGCACCTCGAGGGTATTTGGCGTATCTGACATAGTTGTGAGCGAACTTTGTATGCCGCAATAGCGGGGAAATTACCTTGCCGTTGAATAACCAAACAGGAATGGTAAATAACGTCAACTGGCAAATCTGGACTAACCCCGAAAGTTTGGACGATAACTTCAAACTTGCTGCAGCGAAACCCTCGTAAATCCTAACAATTGCCCATTGCGATGCAGTTTGTGGCACGCCTCTCCGGCGCGAAAATGACCAACCAGTTTACCAAACTTTATACTTCCCCTCGTACACTTTGATTTCGTGCAAGAGACTAAGTTTGTGGGTAACACGTGATAGATGTTAGAAACTGGCGTGGTTGTCGTCTACGCACTGTGCCATTTCTGATAATTGGTCTGGGCGTTCAGTAATTCCAGTCGGTCCCCTAGCTGTTCATTTTGTGCGTTAATTAACTAGATTTGGGCGGCCTGGACGGGGCCCCGCCCCCGCCCCCGACGTCGGAACATCTGGAACAGGCGACGGCGTTGTGTTAATTAAACTGTGCGTTGTAGACTCCAGTAAAGTTGATGCGATGGCTCATGATTGGTCATCCACCCTTGTCACAATATGCGAATGCTCGGTTTAAGGTCAGTCAGTCTGACGAGTAATCGAAGCATGATCCCCTAAAGGAGTCTAGCGTGCCTTCCGAGTACCTCATCATGGAACAGATACACGTACACATGTTGGGCTTGGTAGATGCGCTGTCATCTCCTTCTTGCATGCTGTTTGCTGTCGTACACCCGAGTCACCACGGCATACTAGCAGCACATGTACTAGTCAAAAGCCCATACACGTGTGTTTCGCCGATATTCTGCCGCTGCGTGGCACAGATGCGAGGGTTTCGACCCATCAGTGGCTTCCCCAGCATCCCCCGTGTGTTTTCCGTTAAATACTTCAGTGCCACGCTGCGGCAGAATATCGGCGAAAGACGCGTCTGCGGGGGGTCAGATGTACAGTTAATGACCGATCTCATGAAATGCTGGCAGATATTCTGAAGTGCGTTTTCGACTAGGAAGGGTTACTTAGGCGCGATTGTAATACTGACTATCTTGTGGTATAATCCTATAGTATTTCGGGCGTGGCAAGATGTCAGCTTTTTAATCCCCTGTAGAAAGCTTACTCGGTAAAAATGACTACTTAAGTAGCACACATTGTCCCCATCGGTCTTCGATGGCCTTGCAAATTCAAATATATTTTAGAGAAAATGCCAACAAAATAAGCTATCTTTCGGTCTTTTAATAGAGAATCACGTCATCTTCATACCTTTTACTCGAAGAAGGGGTATAATTAGGTTTTAAATAAGTTTTCTGAGTTCCGAATAATTTGGAGTCTAATCAGTCGTTGCATTAGCGCTTAGTTATTTCAGTCTACAAGATGCATGCGTTCCGCGTAAAGAACTCATATTCTTCTATGATTTTAACAAGATATCATATAGATTTCATAGATGTTTTGGCAGATTTTAAATAATTCATATTGACCCAACTCGACGCCTTGGTGGGATTCGAACCCACGCTGTAAGGAGAAGGCTTTAGTACAGCCAACCTACCACTTGAGCTACGAGGCCCCGCCGGACGACGCGAGTTTAATCACATTTGGGTCAAGTTACCCGTCCAACCGACTGTAACGACTAGAATCCACCAAATCTGATGCAGTAAGTTGACTGCCCAAGCAGGATTTCGTAGGTAATTCACCTAGAATCCACCAGGTTACTACCAGGCTCACGTAATTCATAGGTGTTTTGGCAAATTTTGAATAATTTATATAGAGTTTATAAAATTTTGTAATGGATGAGGACTATGGTGTACATTTAATGAGAAAACGGACAGGTAAGATGCTACATAAGTGGACATTGCTCGGTCTTAAAAACTCTCATGATTAGAAACTTTTTAAAACCCAAATACACTCCTTCTTTTAGAATAAAATATGAAGATGACGTGATTCCCTATCAAGCGACTGAAAGAAAGCATATTCTTATCTATGGTTTCTATAAGCTATACTTGCATTTGCAAGACCATCCAAAATCAATGGATTCAAAAGCTGACATCCTGCCGAGTCCGAAATGGTATAAGATTATGCCGCAGGATAATAAGTATTAAAACCGCGTCCAAGTACTCCTTCCTAATCGAAAATGCATCTCAGGCTTTCTGTCAACATTTCATGAGATCGGTTACTCACTGTAGTTATTTGGCAGCACGTGAGTTAAACAAATCCCACCCACCTCTACTACGGTGTAGGTGGTAGTAGAGGTTCTTACAGGTGGGACCGGGGAACGCACAGGCGACGCCGTCAAGTAATTGTACTCATAAGAATGACTACTGGGAATGCGAGGTTGTACTTTGAGTGGTTGAGAAATGGTTGCCCTAGCCTTTACGCATAAGCCTGACCCTAATCCCAGCCCTAACCCCAACCCTTGACCACAGCCCTAAACCTCAGCCCTGAAACATTTAACGCGAAAGTTAGAAGGATATAACAGGCCGAAAGTCAAGAAAGACCGCCGGCATTGGGCCGCAAAAGGTAGAAAAGCCTGACAACAGAACACACACCGCAACGCGCAGAAACACCATGCCGACGTAATCACACCAATTCAAAATAATTAAGTAGGTCAACGGTATTTGCGTCCATCAGGTGCGGCTACATAACCACATCCTAAAGTCTGGGCTTTTGGCTAGTACCCGCCGTCAGTATGGTGTCCTTCAACCCCAATATATATTACCAGCTGTCCGCTGGCATTTTAATGAATATTATGCGGCAATCCCGCTGTGGCTGATGTTACCCGAC